TGATCCTCCTGTTTTCAGCCTCCCAAACTCTGGGATTACAGGCATGCACCACCATGCCTTGCCTCATTTGCTGTCTCAGTGCACCCTGGGAATGGGGCTGGCACAGCACGCCGGAGATAGAATCTCTATCCCCATAATGTGCCACTTACATGTTTAAAAATTAATGAATGAATAAATAAAACAGTAAATGAAACATTAGACTACTTATCTCCCAGGTGAGACACTATGATCAAAAAGTGGCTTTCTCAGGGTGAGGCTTGTTCATTCAACTTCAGATGTGTTGATCTCTGTGATTTCCCTTATGTGGGAAAATTGCATAATTTGTGCAAGTAGGGGACTGTGTTTGCACTTTCTCCTGAAAAAAAAAATAGTAATGGAACAGAATTTAACTAAATAAAATAATAGGAATTCAATGCTAGTTGTTAGATTATTGCATATTGTTGTCTTCAAATTGGTTGCTCAGATTACCAGATGCAAGCATCCAAAATTGCTCCAAAACATTAAAAAGAAGGAAAATACTTAAGCATTGACTGTTCCTTTCAAAAGACCAGTTTGGAAAACAGCAGTACAGGTATGCAAGATATACTATTTATATACATATATTTTTCCCTTTCCATTTTTCCTTTCTTTTCTTTTCTTTTTTTTTCTTTTCTTCTTTCTTCTCTTTTCCTTTCCTTTCCTTTCCTTTCCTTTCCTTTCTTTTCTTTTCTCCTTTATTTCTGTTGCTTCTTCCCTTTAAAGAGTCTATTTTCATTTCACAGTATCTATTTTACCCACCAGATTTTATTTATTTTTCAAGTTCTTACACTAGGATGACAATATGATGTTTATGTATGCTGGCCTGATTTGTCTCACTTGTTGTTCTCTAGTTGTATCCAGTTACTTATAAAAGCCACAATTTTTTTATAGCTAAGTAATATTCCATTGTATAAATATACCACATCTTTTTTATCCATTCTTCACCTGATGGCATTTGAGTTGTTTCCATGTTTTACCTATGATAAATTGCTCTGCTGTAAATATGCGGGCACATATATTACCATAGTATGATGATCTCAGTTCATGTGGTATAATCTTCTTGATGATTCATTGCATTCTGTTAGCTAGTGTTTCATTGAGGATTTTTGCATCTATATTAAATAAATTGTAAACATTTAGACCTTCAGTATAGAATCATTCAAGTATTTCATGGGAATAAATTTGAATATAACATTTTAGGAAATACATGGGAAAATTAAACCACCTGACAGTCACAAGTGAAATGAATATATAATTGAAGAAGAGATTTGAACTTTTTGTATTTTCTTTTTTGTTAAAGTATTTAGTGCAGGATCTACAGGGTTTCACTACACAGTTCAAACTTGTAGTGATCTTTCCTCTTCTTCAGCCTCCCAAATCCTGGGATTACAGGCACGTGCCACCACACCCAGTCTAAATAACCATCTCAGCAGGCCCTAGGGGCAGGGGCCAGCAGAACACCCTAGGGAATTGAACTCCAGCCTCTTAAGAAGGCACTTTAATCCACAGAGCTATCTGGCTCACCCTCTTTGCATTTTCTGTAGGAAACTATTTAAGCTTATATTTAATTTTTTTAATCTACTCTTTTACATAAAAGCATCATCTTTTTGATAACTAAATAGGAAAACATGGGAGTGAAGGCCCACATAGAAAACAGGTGTGTAGTGAGACACTGTAGACCCTGTACTAGAACTCTTAACTCATGTAATAGCCTTCAAATTTTAACACTATTTAGTTAGAATAAATATTGAAATGACGGTTCAGTTCCCAAATTCCTCTGGCTTTTTGGTGTCTTCTATTATTTCAGTTACTACTTTATAGCGTATAAAGAATTATGTTCTCTAGCAAAAACTTCTCACACTTCACCTTTTTTTTTTTTTTTCATTTTCTATCTCTGAACACTATTTTCTTTTTAGCACTAATCACAAGAACTCTAGTCATTTTATTTTTCAATTTAATCTTACAGGTTCTTTATTAAAATATAAAATCCAAGATATTAGAAATACACAAAAATTATTTTTTAATCTCTTAACTTCAATGCCAAACAGGGCCTCTCACATATAAAGGATACTCAAACTATTTCTTCTTTTTCTTTTCCATTTTTTT